AATGTGTACTGTCAGCAATTGGACAGTTTGAACGAATCCATCATCCAGAAACGTCCAGAGCTTGTTAATTGTAAAGGAGTTGTGTTCCATCACAACAAAATGAGACCACACACAAGTTTGATCACCCATCAAAAATTATTGGAGCTTGGATGGGATGTGTCGCTACACCCACCATACTCGCCTGACCTTGCGCCGTCAGACTTCCACTTGTTTCACTCTCTTCAAAACTCCTTCCGTGGTATAACGTTCAGTTCAGATGAGGCTGTAAATCAGCACCTTGTTCAGTTTTTCACACATAAAAGCAGGTCCTTCTATGAACGAGGAATGATGAAGCTCACTGAAAGATGGCAAAAGGCTATCAAACAAAACGAGCAATATGTCATTGATTGTTCTTTATATAAATAAATGACCTTTGAAAAACATAGATAAAATAACATCATGAGTTTGCCGACAACTCAATGAAACAGTAGAATAACCTAGGACAGGTCCTTAGCGCCACACCTTCAGTCTGCACTGCAGGCCTGTGGGCCTCCCTGGTGGGTCCAGGCCCCCTGAGAAGCACAGGTTAGGGTGGGGTGATGGGCATACTTTAAATACTTAGAAAATGTTTTCCTGTCACATAGGCTTTCAGGTTTCCAGGAACTAGGGGTTTGGGGCTTTTGGTTTTTGGGGGTTTTTTTGCTTTTGTACATCACAAAACTAGTGCTTTTGCTCTTGGCATTAAAGGGTCAGAAAGTCTGTGTACCTCCTTATAACTGGCTCACACTTTCATGGGTTGGTCTCCAATCTCTGAAATTTGTCATGAATATGTATATGTATGAAAACTATCATTTTTTATTATTTTCTGATTATGAAAGTAATACATGCATAGTATTTAGAAGGAAATAATACAGAAATGTAGAAAGTGCAAATTTTTTCTCAATCTAGAAATAACCAGTGTTTTCAGGTATGTGTGTATATATACAATTTATATATAGTATTAAATATGTTATATATATTAAATACATATTCCAAATTTTCACTCTATAATAGAAATCCTTATTCAGGGGTACCAAAAAATGTACACATTGTAAGAGATATTATCTATGTATTACTTTTCGAAGTTGAATTGAATTACAGTAGCAACGTGTAGTATGATGTTTGCTCAAAGGATGGCATTAATCAAATGAATGCTAGCATCATTCATTGTTAGAATTTTAATACAGTTTTTGCTTTTCTTAAAATGCGTATACATTTTTTTCAGCATCCTGTGTATACAAGTATACATCTTGGCTCTTTTATTCAGTTATTTCATCAGGATAAATTTCTCAAAATAGAATTTCTGAGCCAAAGAATGTATCAACTTTATATGTAATGTATAATATAAAATATATAAATGTTGATACAGAATATATAAATTTTGATACATAAAGGATGTACTACAGAGGGATCTTTCTCTCCCATACTCTCACTACCAGTGTATTATTCAGATTGTAATAACACAATCTAATACTTTAGAATACACGTCTTTTGTTATTATGAGACACAACACTTATGAGTTTCTTAGCCATTTTTTTCCCCTCTAATGAATTGGATTTCTGTATCCTTCACTCATCAGTCTGTTGAGACACAGTGTAGGTTCTGAAGCCAGACTACCTGTGTTTGACTCTCCACACTATCACTTGCTATTTTAACCTTGGGCGAGCAGCTTAACCTCTTTACATCTTGAGGTTCGTATCTGTAAGATGGGGGTATTAATAGTATACATATTGTGGGCTTGTTCTAAGGGTTAGTAAATAAGTTAAAACCTGCACATGGTAAATCTTAGCTACTGTTGTCATCATTATTTTCCACCTTTTTCTTAAAGATTTGTATCAGCTGATTACGTATTAAGGCTGTTAGTCATTTGTCATGTTGTAAATGTTCTTCCACCAGGTTGTCATTTCTCTTTGCTTTATTTGTAGTGTCTTGTGCCATAATAATTTAAAATAGATATATTTTGGGCAAACTATTGTATGAAGTAAAATGGAAATGTTTTCCTTCAGCCTT